AAGTAATTGCGAAGACCATGGCCTGTATCAGGCACACCTTAATCTCCAGACTGCCGTTGTTGCTCTTCAGTACTTTGGAAAGGTCTCTGACCACAGACTTTCCCAAGGCAATTTATCTTTTAATTTCCTGGCTGCTGGTACCAAGAGTGTTGACTGTAGAGCCAAGCAAACTGAAACTGTCAACAATCTCAATCTTTTCACCATCTATCATGATGCTGCCAATCAGCCTAATGGTGAAAATCTTTGTTTTCTTGATGTTGAGCTTCAATCCATATTGAAGGTTGCAGTCCTTGACCTTCTACAGCAAGCACTTCAGGTCAGCCAGCAGGGTTGTGTCATCTGCATAATGCAGATTGTTGATAAGTCGACCTCCAATCTTGATGCCACACTTCCGCTCATAGAGCCCAGCCTCCTGGATAATTTGTTCTGCATATAGACTGAAAAGATATGGAGATAGGACACATCCTTGATGCACACCCTTCCCAATTTTGAACCATGCAGTGTTTCCTTGCACTGTTCTGATGACTGTCTCCTGGTCCAAGTATAGGTTTCACATAAGCACGATCAAGTGTTCTGGGATTCCCATTCTTAGAGTCAGCCACAGTTTGTTGTGATCCACACAGTCAAATGCCATTGCATAGTCAATGAAACAGATAGACATTCCTCTAGTACTCTCCGCTTTCAGCCAAGATCCATCTGACATTAACTTTAATATCCCTAATGCCATGGCCTCTTCTAAAGCCAGCCTGCATTTTAGGCAGTTCTCTGTTAATCCAGTTGATTTTGGATAATCTTCAGCATAATCTTGCTTGCATGTGATGTCAGTGATACTGTTCAATAATTTCCACACTCTGTTAGATCACCTTTCTTTGGAATGGGAACACATATAGATCTCTTCCAGTCAGTAGGCCAGGTGTTTGTCCTCCAGATTTCTTGGCAAAAGTTGGTGAGCACATCCAGGGCAGCATCTGTTTGTTGAAATATGTCAATCAATATGCTATCAATTCCTGGGGCCTTGTTTTTTGCCAATTCTTTCAGAGCTCTTGCTCATAGATTGTTTCATGACATTTTTCTGTGTCCACAAATTTCTTTTGATTCAATGACTCTGTATATGCTTTCCATCTTCTTTTAATGCTTTCTGGATCATTTAATAATCTAGTGTTATGATAAAGAAAGTGTCTTTTCACCTTTTCTATACTTTTATAGACATATAAAAGCAAAAATTTGGCTATATCTTTGAAAAAAAGTATCTAATTACTTTCAAAGGAGAAATTCCTCGAAATAGTATTGCCAGTTTAAGAGCATGTACATTTTAACTGGCACATTTTGCTCAGTCAACCTCCGTGTTGTTATAGTACTGAATATATTGCACCTCTGCTCGGCTTAGAGGGAAGTGGCATCTGCTGCCCAAATAAGGTTCATCCTCCTCCTGAAATAGGTGTGATCTCTGATTTTTCACATGGGTAATATTAGCCTAGTGACAAGAAAGTGCACTGCAGTTCCAAAGGCATGCAGTTCAAGGCCACCAGCTGCTCTGCAGAAGGCTGGGCAATCTCCTCTTGTTTGATTAATTGTCTCTGAAAACCCACTAGAGAGTCAGCTATGGGTCGGTTCTGACTCTCCTGTACACAGCACAACACACAATGGTTTCCGTAGAGTCTAGTCCCTCTTGAAGCATGTTGGGGAAAAGTCCTGGCAATCTAGTTCTAAAAAATCAGTCACTGAATGGACCACAGTTCCACTCAGACACCTGTGGAGTTTTCATGACTTGGAACTGATTCAATAGCTACTGGTCATTCTATGCAAAACAGTTAACATTTGTTAGGCTCACACTAATACCAGACTGTGCAATAAGCTTTATGGTCTAGACTAGATTGTATTTACTTGATTTCATTCTCGATGACTCCATGAGAAAGATTCTAATACTCCTGGTTTACTCTATTACCTGATTTCTGAGAAAAGTGAAATAACTTGCCCAGGGCACCCAGCCAATAAGGGGCAAAGTGGGGTCTGAGACTTTGCTGTAATTCTGGAATGATCTAGGCTGTTAATTCCCTACTTTCAAGATGAATTTGGTCAAGTATCGTCAGGAAATCCAAAGAACAACCAAGTCTGTCTTGGAAGATGTGCAAGCAGGGTGCTTCTTAGAGGCAAAGATGGTGAAACTCCATCTCACCTATTATGGGCATGTTGTCAGGACCTTGGGGAGAGGACATCCAAAAAGTGGAGGGTCCGTAAAAGAGAGGAAGACACGCAATGAGATCGATTGACACAGTAACTATAAGAATGCACTCAAAGGGGAAGAGATGCAGGCTAGGGCAAGGTTCAGATCTGTGATTCACAGGGTCAGTGTGAGTCATAGATGACCTAATGGCTCCTAACCACGACACCACACTGCCAGGACACCACCATCACTCTGCAGAGAGAGGCTGGGAGGCCATGACTGCCTTGTGTGTAGATAACAATAAGGTGTTTTCTAGAAGCTTCTGCGAGTTATCTTTGAGAATGAATTAAACAACTTCTCTTTTGTTTTGAAAGTGAAGCACATTTTTCAAGTCAGCACTATCTCCCATGCTGAAACCACAGACCCACCAGAGTCCCCACCACACTCACCGTCTTGCCCACCTCTGACCATTTGTCTCTTCAGGGCTGGAACTTTGCCTGTGCCATCTTGCCCACACTCTTGCCAGCTCACTGCTTCTCACTGTAGCATCTCAGCAATCTGGAGTCTCAGAAGGAACTCGCACTGCTCCACTTCTTATACTTCCTTTGCAGGCTTATTTCTTTGCAAGTGGCTGAGCAATCTGAAATATGGCTCCCGGGGGCTGAAATGAAGCCTCTGGCCACTGTGGCTTAAACAAGCCATTTCTCCCGCCAGCAGCCAGCTCCCACAGCCCTGAGTGTGTGACAGGAGTAGGCGGGCAGCATCCAAGGAAGTATAGTGTTCTCACCCCTTCTCTTTACCCTTAAGGAAGAGATTTGTTACATGTTGTTTTAACAGGTTGATGCAAAATAAATAAACAGAGAGGGAGGGCAGAGATAGATGGTTTTCAGTAAATACTGTTACCGTGACCAGCGATTTGGAGGGAGCTGGTGGGGAATAAGTTTCCCACCTAAGCAGTTGTGACAGGAGTATTAACCGGGCCTGGGAAGGAGAACACAAACACAGCACCGTGAAGATTACCAGAGCACATACCGAGACTGAAAAATGTGTGTCTGCAAAGATAAAATGCCTGGTTCTGTGGGCGCCATCCCATACACCTAGCTAGGGATGTCTTGGGGTTTCTGGCCCCTTCAGCTTTAAGGCAGTTGGGCTTTATGAAGTGACCTCAGCTCAGAGAGGCATCCAGCTCTATTTCCTGCTGAGGCTAATAGTGATGTTCTCAGAGACGCCAAGTCCCTGGAGATTCACCCCCTAATTTTGGAAAAAGGTTTTTATTGCCTTATCTAATATGCTCATCCCTTTGAAAAAACACATTGTTGACTAGATGCTGCTGATGTGAACTTTGCAGAGTCGTCTCAGGCAGGGGTGGGAGGGTAACCATTGGCTAAGGAGTTGTCAGGAAGGAAGGAAGGTTTGGAGGGAGGAAAAGAAAGATAAGAGGGAATAATGAATGGCAGGACTAAATGGAAAGGGAGATGGGTCAGGAGAATATATATCTCTTAAAAACGTCCTTTATACACCTGGCATGGAGCCTACATCCCCAAATCAAACCAACTGCCTTGGAGTCAGTTCTAACTGACGGTGACCTTAAAGGACAGAGTCCAATCAGAGTGTTTCTTAGAGGCAAAGATGTCTAAACTTCCTCTCACATTCTTTGGACAAGTTGCCAGGAGGGGCCAGTCCTTGATGAAAAGACACCATCAGTGAAAGACAGGAAGACCCCCAACAAGATAGATTGACATAGTGACTGTAATAATGGGCTCGAGCTGATCAGAGGTGATGCGAATTGTGCTGGGTTCAGAACTGTTATTCACAGGGTCTCTGTGAGTCATTGCTGACTCAATGGCAATTAATAACCACCACCACATAGGCCAGAGTAGAAATGCCCCATAGGGCTTCTGACTCTGAAAATCTTGACGGGAACAGAACTATCTCAGACTTCTCTCAGAGTTGCTGGTGAGTCTGAACGGCCAACCTTTGGGTTTGTAGTCCAGTGCTTAACCCACGGCCTCACCAGAACTCTGGCACAATGTCCTGCACTTCATATGTTATTATCTTACTCCATCTCCATCCCAACACTCACCTTTCCAGGTGAAGCAGTTGAGATGGAGAAGGGTTAAGTGACTCATAAGAACAGACTAAGATCCAAAGAGATCTTCCAAGCTGGAAGGAAGGAATAATGTTTATGTTGAGATCATTGGTAAAGCGATGCTTCTGCCCTTGTGTGGGCCAGAGATAAAGTCTGAAAATCCAGTCAGTATTTGCTTCTGGGGCTTTAATAAAGCAGATCTACTTTCTCTGTCTATTTTTGCCAGTCTGGGCAAGCCAACCTAAGTGCCTTTTGTTTATCAGTCTGAAACACCTGAGTGTCTGTGAGTGAGTAGAGAGAACATTAGCTGGAGGATGACAATAGTCTTTTTTTGTCTCCTTGTTATTCGTCGCCATTAGTTGATTCCAACTCATGGTGACTCCATGTATGCAGAGTACTGTGCCCAAGGGGGTGACTTTTTAGAAGCCAGTCTCCAGGCCTGCCTTCTGAGGGGCCTCTTGGAGGTGTTGAACCACCAGACTTTCAAGTAGTAGATCATTGCATAAACATTCACTCCACCCATTTTTCATTACTCATTGATGTCAGAACTTGGAACTGACTCATAGCTGTCCGCTGATAATCACACGAGAGGGGATTGCCTATCCTGGTCCTTCAGAACCACTGGTGGATTTGAACTACCAAAGCTGTGACATGTGAGTGAGCCATGAAATATCCTGTGGACTATATGCCGCCCTGTTTCAGAGTGACCTTTTCTCATCCATGCCCCTTTGTGCCAACCTCTGCCAGGTACGACTTCATTGAGATTCGAGATGGGGACAGTGAATCTGCGGATCTCCTGGGAAAGCACTGTGGGAACATTGCCCCACCTACCATCATCTCCTCTGGCTCTGTGCTCTACATCAAGTTCACCTCCGACTACGCCCGGCAGGGGGCAGGCTTCTCCCTGCGCTATGAAATCTTCAAGACAGGTCAGTGGGGTGAGGAGTGGGAATTTTGGAGAAGAAGGGGGCACTTGGTCATCTGTTTATGACCATAAGATGCCAAGCAAGCGCGGAGGGGTGGGGGCCCAGGGCTCAGACATACCATATGGTGGTGGTTTTCATGTGCGCTGTAGGACAGAGTAGAACTTCACTACAAAGTTTCCTGGGCTATAATACACATTACTGGGGAGCAATGATGTCAATTTGAAGACGATTGTGCATTTGATTTAGGCCATGGTCTTTTCATTCACTTGCTATGCATTTGAAATATTGACAATGAATAAGGAAGACAGAAGAAGAATTGATGTCTTTGACCTGTGGGGTTGGAGAAGAGTGCTGAATATCCATTGACTACCAAAAGAACAAAGAGATACACCTTGGAGAAGGTGCAACCAGAATACTCCTTGAAGGCAAGGATGACAGAGCTTCATCTCACACACTTTTGGGGTGATGTTAAAAGAGGCTCTTTCTTGGAGAGGGACATCATGCTGGGAAAGGGTAAGCAAAGGAGAGGAAGACCCTCAATGGGATGGATTGACACAGTCACTGCAGCAAAGGGCTCAAGTGTGTCAGATGATGAAGATGGTCCAGGAGTCAAGTGTGTCAGATGATGAAGATGGTACAGGATCAGATCTTTCGTTCATAGAGTTGCACTTGACTTGATGGCACGTAACAATAACAATTTTTTGGGAGTAAATCACCTGGTCTTTATCCCATGAAACCACTGATGGGTTTAAATCTTTTTATTAAACAGCCAAGCAATTAATTATTGTACAGCTAGGTTTCCCACGCACACAACGAGGGTTATACTTTTCCAATCTTGAGACTGGCTGTAGAGATGAGAAAGTTTCAAAGTGTATCTAGAAATAATCAGGAGACCAGTTTAAAAGATCAGGTTGCAGGGTTACCGTGTTGAGTGCCACTGGCTCAGTGTGGTTCGTGGCTGCAGCAAAATACAGTGACTAAAAAAAATAAGGAAAAAACCCAAGCACTTTTAGAAAGCATTTGGGGTTTGTATGTTTTTAAAATGGAAAAATAATCCTCATAGGAGAAAGTAAAACTTAGTTGAACTTTCTCACAATTACTGTATGGCTAATTGTTGTTTTTATTTCAAATTACATGGACTTGGAAGGCATAATCTCTTTAGTGTTCACAGTCTCTGAAGATTTTACTGTGACCCTTAAAATGGAGTCATGCAGTGTCTTAAATTCAAACCTGGTCCTTAGAAAAAACCCCTTAAACATCCCAATTTCCCATCTCTACCCACTGAATCTGTAGGGAGCTCTGGTGACGTAGTGGTAAGGAGTTGTGCGGCTAACCCTAAGGCACAGGGTTCGAATCCACCAACTACTCCATGGGAGAAAGATAGGCAGCATCTTCCCATGCCATTTATTGCTTCTGAAAACCCACTGGAAGGTCAGCTATGAGCTGGTTCCAACTCAGTGTTACTTAACTACAAACAACACACTCCATAGAATACCTACTTCCTAAACCCAAACGAAGCTGATCTCTGAAAATCAATCCAAAAAGAGGCTTGTATTCATTTTTACATTAACTTCTTGATTTCTATTATAAAACCCCCAAACCAATCAATTCCAACTCTGGTGGTCCCAGTGCACCAAAATAGATCTATGCCGTACAGGGTTTTTAATAGAAGGCTTTCTCGAAGTTATCACCAGACCTTTCATCTGAGATTCCTCTGGTAGACTCAAACTTCCAATGTTTGGGTTAGCAGCACATTAAGCTTATCTACTAGACCCCTTCCCTGGTTTAAATTGCTTTAAAAAAAAAAAACAAAACAACCAAAGCCACCTCATTGTAGTCAAGTAGGAACCAACTCATAACTGACTGATCATTGTGTTTTGCAAGCAGCCATCACCTGAATGAGGAAAGATGGTCCTTCTATTTCCCTCAGGGTGGCTGGGGGAGTTGAGCCCCCTGCGAGGCATGGCCTTTTGGTGAGCAGTGCTGTGGGGCAGTGCCTAGTCCGTGACTAGTATAGAGAACTTTGCTCACTCCTCTCCCTGCTACAAGATGTAAAGTCTGCATCAACACTTGATGATCTTGATGTGTCTTTCTTGTCACCAAGTATGTGTGGAGCGCATTATCTTGAGCCTAATTGGAGCTTGGTCTCTAATTCCCCGCTCGCCAGCCTCAGAGGCCCCTGTTCCATCTGTGAGTGAGTTTCCCCTCCACAACAGCCTGACTTTTACAATCCGTGGATGGCTTTCCGGCTAAAAGGCAGGCTGTCCGCCTTGTCATCAAGAGGCCAAAGACCGGCGCCTGTTGAGTTCAGTGTAAGGGGAACTATTCATCTATATTTTCTTTTTCACTAAACAATTCTTGAAAGGAAGTGGTAGCTGCTGAAAGCACTTTTTATATCCGCGCTGTCTAAATATTTGTTGGATTTGTCTGCCTGAGAACAAGAACGTACAATCAAATGAAGGGGCGGGTACTGAGGGAACTGAGTGGAGCCAAGAAGGGGAGCCCCTGATGTCACAAGGACACGCCCCAAGAAGGCCCATAGACCTTGGGAAGGGAGCAGGCTGGGATTCTGTGTTTCTAACTACAAAGAGGCCACAGAGGGTGACAGAAACTGCATGGCACTTGGTGGCTAAGGTCTAGCATAAGGCTCCTGGAGCTAGAGCTATGTCCCAGTCCTGTGCAAGCCATGGTTAAATGCCACAGGCACTGATGGAACTTCAGCGGAGTCATCCACAGCTGGGGAGAGAAAAAGGAGTAACACAGGAGTTTGCCCTGCTTGAACAAGGAAGGCAGAACCATGGTGGTCCAGAGGTAGAATTCTCACCTTCTGTGAGGGAGACTTGGGTTTGACTCCAGCTCACACCTCATGCAGAGACGCCACCCATCTGCCAGTAGAAGCTTTGGTGCTTCTGTGATACTGACAGGTTTTAGCAGAACTTCCAGACTAAGATGGACTGGAAAGAAAAGAGGCAATCTACTTCTAAAAAGCTGATGAAAAAGCTTACAGCTCACACTGGAGTCCAGTCTCCGTCCCATCATAGAGATGGGAAGGACCAGGCAGCATTTCTATCCCATTGTTTGTGGCACTGCCATGATTTCAGACTGGCTCAGCTATAGCTGACAGCAACAGCAGTGAGGGAGGCATATGTGCAAACCCTCTGCCTTAAGATTAATGTGCAATAGACGTTGGATGAGTAATTATGCCAGTTGAATGGAAAACTACCACACGAGGCAGAATGAGCTAAGCACTAAGAGTCACATGCTATGGTTAGGGAGATGATGGAATAACCAAGTGGCTGGGCCAGATGGGGAATAAAGCAGTCTGGAGTGCGTGTTGAACAACAAGGTAGTGGGACCCTAGTGCTAAAGCCATCAACCAGCCTCCTTCTGCCTGGAAACAGCGCTAAGCAGGGTCTTCTGGGGCACTGGCCGATGGAAGTCAAGCAGGACAAGCAAGACCATTGACACTTACTGTTCATTTCATGCCCCTGGTGTATGTTTTCACATTCTCCAGAAAACATAAACCAAAATAGAAAGTTGGTTTTCTCTGGCATGCAGATTTGAAGGATGGAGAGTAAAACAGAAGTCCTCATTCAGCATCGCTGTGTAGTTGTCAGGTGTCATTCAGTTGACTACAATTCATGGTGACTCTCTCTGAACAGCTCAAAACCTCACACTAGCCTGTGAAATCTTCATGATGCTTTCCATGTTCAAGCCCATTGTCACAGTCACTATATCGGTAAGATCAGGTTTAAGCAGGATTTTAGAGGCAGCAAGTCTATAGACAACAGCCTAGAAACAATAGTCAGTAGTCAATACAGATGATCTGGGCTTGGGAGAAGGGGTAGCTTGCTCTGGTTAAATAGGCCATAAAAGAAAGAAAGTGCTGTATCTGTAGTGAAGAGTTCACACGCCACACACACACACACACACACACACTGGGACGGTGAGAAGGAGGGCTCCTCCAGTCTTCTCAGGCCCACCATGGCCATCCAAAAGACCAGCTTTCAGCACCGAAGTCAAACCTGCATGAAGCACCAAGATGAAGAGAGGTCGGAATTCCCAGCTGAGGTGGATGATGACCATTCTGCCAGGTGCTGTGCCCTGCATTGTTGAGAGGCCTGAGAGAATATAAGCAATGTTTGTGTCATCCACAGAACATGAAAGAAATGCGTGAATATGCTGAAGGAAGCCAAACACACACAGCTATGTTTGCAGTCAAGAGTCTTCCAGAAAAAGAAGAGGAAGCTGTAAACACAGACACAAGCCCCTCCCAATTTCAGAATTCTGTTCTTTGGGCTTTGACTTGCACTTGCTCATCAATTGGAACAGTTTGGTGCAATTGGTATTTCATGTCAATTAATCAAATGTTTGTCTAGCATCAAGTATATAGTTGTTGTTGTTGTTATGTGCCGTTGAGTCGTTTGCGACTCATAGCGACCCTATGTACAACAGCCCTAAACCCTGCTCTATCCTGTGCCAATTGCATTGCCTCTGACACACCCATCCCGATTACCCCAGTCACTGAATCAATCCACCTCATAGAGGGTCTTCCCCTCCTGTGCTGTCCCTCTACCCTACCAAGCATGATGTCCCTCTCCAAGGACCTGTCTCTCCTTACAACATGTCCAAAGTATGTCAGACGAAGCCCCAGAATCCTTGCCTCCAAGGAGCAGCCTGGTTTAACCCTCTCCAGGATGGATCTGTTTGTTTTCTTGGCAGTCCACGGAACAGTCAATCTTCCCAACAAAAATTAAAGGAACACTTCCAGATACACGAGCATATATAAACATCTTTAACACAACACTATAGTAATAGTAGTAATGATGATGAAAACTATAGGCTTTGAGCCTCATACAGAAGACTGTCATCTTCAGTACGGCTTATCCCTCAACATAATGAAAACAATAGTCCTTACAACTGGACTGATAAACAACATTAAGATAAAAGGTGAAGTGTTGAAGTTGCCAAATTTTCATTTCACTTATAACTCTCCTGGAAGCAGCAGTTAAGAAATAAAAAAGTAAATTGCCCCGGGCAAATCTGCTGCCATGGAATTCTTTAAAATGCCAAAAAGCAAGGGTGTCATTTTAAAGACTAAGGTGTGCCTGACTCAAGCCATGGTATTTTCAGGTGCTTCATATGCATGCGAGAGTTGGACAGTGAAGAAGAAAGTTCAAAGAATTCATACCTTTAAATTGAGATGTTGGTAAAAAAATACAGAATATGACACGGATTGCCAAAAAGCAATCAAATCTATTTTGGAAGAAGTGTATCCAGAGTGCTCCTTAGGCGTAAGGATGGTAAGACTGTCTCACGTCCTTTGTACATAGTATCAAGAGAGGCTGGTCCCCAGAGAAGGGCATGATGCTTGGGAAAATACAGAATTATTGAAAGAGAGGAAGACCCTCCATGAAGTGGATTAATATAGTGGCCACAACAATGCGTGTAGGCATGGCAGAGACGGCCAGGTTTTGTTCTATTGTACGTAGATTTGCTAAGAATTCTTATCTGCTTGAAGGCACCGGATAACAATGTTTAATGTGTGTAAAAAAACTATTACCTGTTCCATTGTAGAGCGCTATGGTGGCCAAGTGGTAAGAAGTTGTGCGGCCATCTGAATGACAGGAGACTCAAATCTGTTCCTCAGGAGAAGGATGGACAGTCTACTCCTGTGATTTATAGTGTCTGAACACCTGTTGGAGGGTCGGCTATAAGCCAGTTCCAATTTGATGACACATAACAACCACAACATTTCATTGTATGTACCTTGAATTTTTAATGTAATATGCCTTACAGGAGTTGGCTCATAATGACAGATCGTACATAATTCAGTCAGGTGCTCATAACTCAACACTGACTGTGCAGGTTCTCTAAGTCTGTAGCCCTACATTATTCTAGCAAGGTCTACTACCAAGTGACGCTAAGCGATAGAGCCACAGTTTCGGTACAGACAAGGAGCATGTGGCTGGAGTAGGGATTTCATGGCTTCTTAAATGAAGTGGCTTTTAAAAGAGTCTGTATTCTGTTGAGTCTTTTGCTCAAACAGGCATTTAAGCACTGGGCCACTAACTAGAAGATTTATAGTTTGAATCCTCCCAAAAGCACCAGAGAAGTAAGGCCTGGTGGTGTGCTTACAAAAAAAGGCCACAGCTTTGAAAACCCTTGAGAATGTCAGGGTTATGCAGATGTGCCTGGAGTCTGCAATAGTCAGAATAACGTCATCAGCAGCTCCTTTGGTTTTCTCTGTTGTGTTACTAGATTAACTACATATAAAAGGGTAAGCCAAAACAACTCTCAGTCTTTAAAGATATCAAATCATGAACAAAAAAACAGAGAAAGGAAATTTTAAATGATTTTAAAAGTTATTGAAACAGAAACTCTTTTTGAATAAGTTCTTTTTGGATGATTTGAACCTATAGTTCAAGATTACGTTTTTCTTCCTGGTGCCTAGAGACTTTTTGGAAACGAAAACCTCGATCATTCACAGAAAGCGGAAACCTGGAGTGTCCCCTACTCTTGAATTGAGGAACTGAAATAACCTCGCGTGGTCAGACCAAGCTCAACTTTTGATACGTCTATTCTTTTAAATAGCTCTGTGCAAGTAGTTTATTCTTCTGCTTTCAGAATTCTTTCACAATTTACAGTAGAAAATCATAGGGTGGGCATTTTCCATTCCAGAACCCTTTTGGCTTGAAATCACTCACTACCATAGAAACCTGCTACACTGCCCCCAACACACACACACACTTTCTCCTCTCTCTTCTCCCCTCCTCTCCTCTCCTCTCCTCCCCTCCCCGCCCCTCCCCTCCTTTCCTCTTCCCCCTCACCCAGGGACAGTCTTATCACCAAATGAGTTTGAATGTTTGTTGACAGCATTATTTTCCAACCATTGATCCTTTGACACAGGATCTTGGATTGGGTAGAAACCTGCAGGACTCAATTTACGACTCAAGGAGGGTCACCTCTTCTCAACATTTGATATTCAGCTGCTGCTTCTTTTCTGACACTTTGGTGGCCCAAACAGTGAGATAGTGCAAGTAGAAACAAAGGAGCAATTTCAATAGATTGTATTTTTTTCCTGAAACTTTTTGGATGAAACTGTTTTCTACCTCTTTCAAAATAAGTTAGAGGATATAGTCATTTATAGTCAAATGTCAGGGAGAGATACAGAGATTTTTGAGTGGTGACAGAAGGATGAGATGCCTTAAATACTTAAGGTTGAAATTTTATTTGTACTGTGATCTCAAAGTCCTAGGTACTTTCAAATCTCTCTTTCTTGAGGCCTCTCCAGATAGATGGCTATTGTGGAAACACCTGTCCCCCATGGATAGGATGGACCAAAGACAGATTTCCACCCTAAATTCCCTACTTCCAGTGGGGAGGAGATGTCCCTTGTCTTGGGTGAGCATGACAATAGGGTGGCCTCTAGGAAAAAATGCCAGAATGCTTTTCCCAGCTCTGCAAGCAAGTTGTGAATAGAGTTAATTTCCTCCCAGTCGGGTGTGAAGCTGTTCTAAGTGACCCACAAGAAGGCTGCACAGCAGCCCTAAACTCTAACCTTTTCAAAATTCCTCTCGGCCCCCTGAAGACCTGCCAGCTGGCTTGGCTTTGCTGAATTGCCTCACCCCGGGGCCGCTGAGGCTGCCTGCCTGAGCACTGGGTCTGGGGTAAACAGCTGGGGTGGAGACACCCCAGCTTTGCTGCCCCCCTGCCACCATGCCCCAGTAATGGAGAGCAGAGCCTCTTGAGACGTGTGGCCTCAGCAAGCCCCCGAGCATCACTGAAAAGGTTAGCTCTCCCGCCTCCTGCATCGCTGGTCCCCACCCTGCCAGCACCCGTGCTGGGTAGAAGGGCAGAGGTGATGGATGGATAGGCAGCTTGTATTGGAATTTCCTATCTACTGCTAAAGAGAACTGCAGCGTCCCCTTCCCCCACTCATTTGCATGGCACCTTTTCTAAGTCTGGCATTTGTTGCTTTCCAGAAAGCCCTTATCAATAAAGAGACTGGCTTTGGAGGGGAGGAGGGAGAATAAAAACATCCCCTCCAGCTAAGATCGGCATATCGACATCACAGAGCTACATTTCAGTGCCCTCCCCCAGGACAGGGCCTGCCAGTAAACACCTGGTTTAGCAAGTAGTTCTTTATGTTTCTTCTTCATGCTTCGAGTGTATATTCTCCTCAGAAATGGTGAAGATGGCACCGGATAGGGCAAGGATCAGGTCCTTTGCTCACAGAGTCAATCTTAATCATGTGACCTTTAAGAACATACAGCCAGCTAACTTCCCTCTCTTCTTGTAAAATCAGGACTTAATGACATAAATTCTAGTTGTTCAGCATTTACATCTACCCAGTCAAGGCACATCACTGCTGGGTCTGTGTGGTTTCGTGGGGCCAGCATGTCCAGGGTCTGCCTTGGCAAATGGTGGCCAAGTTCCAGTACCACGAAGGCCCTTTTAATATGATTCCACCTACAGGCAGTAAGAGACATGGTGGCTGTGGTCCATTTAGAAGTTTCTAAACTGACCCAGGCTGCCAAGGCATGTGGCATTTAATAAGGACTCCTCCAACGGTCCCCAGAAAGCCGGCACTGGCATTGAGGAGAAAAGCAAGCCTATCCTCACCACAAAAGAACCAGAAGCCTTCCAAATGTCAATACACTACTGCATTTTTCCAAGCTTGCTGCCTGAGCGGCCTTTAACATCCCTGCCACCCTGCTGTGATCCACCGGCTAAAAACGTTGATTGTTAATTGTCCGGCCACTACAGAGCAGCTCGTTTTAATACAGTCATGACATGAATGAGCCCCGAGCTCCCCTTTGCCCCTCCCCGAGGCACCTTGGATCTGGGAGGGAAAAGGGGACACTTAGTTGGCTGTGGTACAATAGGGGCCAGTGTTGAGGTCAGCAATAAATAAGGGGTAACATTGTTTTCCCTGCTGGCAATCAGCAAGCCTTCCTTAAGGATTGAAATAACTTACATTTCTGGAGCGAGCAGCTGAGTAATTGAGAATGAAGACTCTGTTCCTTTCTTCAGCAGAATCAGTCTCTCTCCCCTCTTGCTCTCTCTGTTAGACATATCCATACACATACTTTTCTCTACCCAAATTCCTCAACTGCTACTTGTATTCGACTATATACAGCAAGACAGCTGTGCCTGCCTTAATTTCTGTCTTGAAGAGGGCAGGCATGTGGACGTGAGCATATTGCTTCAAGGGCCACTCCAGTGGAAACAAAAATCCTTGTGAGTTGAAGGATCAGGTCCCAAACATTTAAATAACCCGTGTGACAGAGGCAGCAAAGAAAGATGCACTCTCCTGCTTTCCTAATGCTCCCCGTCCTTTTGCAATTCAGGGTCGGAAGATTGTTCAAAGAACTTCACAGGCCCCAACGGGACCATTGAGTCGCCTGGGTTCCCCGAGAAGTACCCACACAACTTGGACTGCACCTTCACCATCCTGGCCAAGCCCAAGATGGAGATCATCCTGCAGTTCCTGACCTTTGACCTGGAGCATGACCCTTTGCAGGTGGGAGAGGGTGACTGCAAATACGATTGGCTGGACATCTGGGATGGCATTCCGAATGGTGAGTGACACCTCTCATTAGTGTGTCCTTCCCCTGTTATGGCTTTGGTGACAATAACAAAAGGAAAACAAAAGACATCAGAGTTCCTTAGGGTCTTTCCATGGCCCATGGTGATTTTCTCTTTGGGGATTTGAGGAAAACCACAGAAGGGCAATCTCCTCTCTTAGAGATATTTTTTTAAAAAAAGACTGAAGACTGAGTAGCTATTTAGATTGGATGAGAATGCAGAAAACTGTAGATGATGTTTTCCACTCTGAGCTGTTGGGATTTCCATAGAAGTGACTTGGGACCAACTCCAGTGCTCTAACAGAGGACTCAAAAGCCAGATTGACTGAGTTGAAATCTTGCCTCTGCCATTTACCATGTGGGCAAGTTGCATAGCATGTCTGTCTGTATCTTATCTCTGTAAGTTCACTTCTATCATTGTCAGTATTCCTATTAGTACTAGAACAGGCCTGAATGTGGGGAAAGGCACCAGCCAAGGCCAAGAACCTGTGCTTCTCAGATGGAGGCCAACACAGATCTTGGGTATAGCCAGTATCGGCAAGGAAGTCAGTCTGACTTTTTCATTATCCTATTTCCCTATATAAAGCAGGCTTAATAGTAGTATTAGTTCCTGGGGAAAGGGTCTGATTAAGTTAGGAAACCTAGGTTTGAGTCCCAGCTCTGCTGTTTCCTAGCTGTGTGAACAAAGTAAAGCCACGTGACCTCTCCAAACTTTAATCCTATCATCTGTAAAACAGGTGTTACAATGACACTGTTCCTGTCCACTCCCAGAGCCATGAGAACAGAATGAGGCCACGCCAGTGAAATGGCTTTTATTTTGTATACTTGTTTATTGACAAAATTCAAATACATTGTTTGAAATGACTTTTTAATGTATAAGAAAAAAATGTTAGACTTGTTCTTAAAACATAGGTTTGGTTGTTCTTTTTATATCAAAGTGCACAAAGTGATGCTCTTACTCAATGTGATACATCACTGGAAAGGGGAAATATATTGGGTACAGAGTTTGACGTGTCCCTTTCCATTGGTCTCTTTCTTTTGCATGTCCAGTTGGACCCCTGATTGGCAAGTACTGTGGGACCAAGACACCCTCGGAACTCCGCTCATCTACAGGGATCCTCTCACTGACCTTCCACACGGACATGGCAGTGGCCAAGGATGGATTCTCTGCACGTTACTACCTGGTTCAGCAAGAGCCTTTAGAGAGTGAGTTCCCAGTTAGGACCCTCTGTCCTGTCCTTACAACAGAGTAGGGAAAGCAGTACCAGTGAAGAGAAGGTGACTTCTGCTGAGAGAAGAAGGTGGGAACATGCCCAGACTGTTGACAGCATCAGAGTCCATGGAAGGAGAGCTATATCCTCTTGCTAGGCAGAGATTAATGAGGAAAGAGCAGATGTTGAGCTGGTTGCTCATTTCTTTGAATTTTACGTATGCACACAATAGATAGATAGATAGATAGATAGATAGATAGATAGATAGATAGATAGATAGATAGTTATCAGAGAGCTGGATAATGACTAGGGAAGAGTATTGAATATACCATGGACTGCTAGGAGAACAAACAAGTTCATCCTGGAGAGGGTGAAGCCAGGCTGCTCCTTGGAGGCAAGGATTCTGAAGCTCTGTCTGACATACTTTGGACATGTTGCAAGGAGGGATCAGTCCTTGGAGAGGGACGTCATGCTTGGGAGTGTGGAGGGACAGCACAGAAGGGGAAGACTCTTGATGAGATGGATTGATTTAGTGACTGGGATTATCGGGATGGGTGAGTCAGAGACAATAAGCTTGGCAAGGGGTAGAGCAGGGTTTAGGGCTGTTGTACATAGGGTTACAATGAGTCACAGGTGACTCGACAGTATGTAATAACAACAATACAATGAAGTATATCTAGTTGTTGCTGTTATATGCCATTGAGTTGGAAGTGACTCATAGCTAACCCTTCAGGGGTATTTCAAGGTTTGTAAATTGAGTGGGAAGCAAGTGCCCAGCTTTCCCCCAGGAGTATTTGGTAGGTTCGAATCACCTGTCTTTGGATTCGCAGTGCAGCTCTTTACCCAGTAGGCCACTAGAGCTCATGTAGAGTATATATTCTGTGATAGCTGGGCCAGAGGCACAGAGAGAGAAAGTAAGACCGCCAGCGAGGTGGATTGACACAGTGACTGCAGCACTGGGCTTAGGTACAGTGGAGGATGTGAGGATCAAGCACAATCGGACAAAGTTTTATAATCTGCTGTACATACAGTTACCGTGAGTCAGTTGGCTCATTGTCACACTACCCCTGCGTGTTCTTTTGTGTGTATAAAGTTATTCCCATCTCAGTCTCTTCACTTATGAATAAAAGGGAAGTTGGTTAGGATGATCTACATAGAGCCACCTGGGAAAGTTTCCCTAGCTTTTTTGGACATCCACTTCATGTGTCCATTAAATAAGAAGTTTCTTGAGCTTCTTCTATATGGCAGGCACTGGGTGAAGCCTTGAAAACCCTTGTCTAGAGCTGTCATGGAGTTTACAGTCTAGGCACATCAGTCTCTGACCGTGAGGTACGTCTTCAGATCAGACCCTCTTGGGCATGGACTTTCGACATGTCCCCATTTCCATTTAGAAAATTGAAATACCAACTTTTAGGATTAAGAAACACATAAAATTATGTGAGTGGAGGGCATGCTGCCTAGCTTATGGAAAGCTCACTACATGCAAAACTGCACACACAGCAGCCAAGCCTGGCCGGCAGGAGCATCACTGAGTTTTGTTCTGGATGTTGCTTTTGTCTTTTCATCAAATTCCTCGTGGAGATTGAGTGACAAAGAAGCAGTATTGCAAATTGTACTGGGTTCCGCAAATGGCCTGTGCAGTCACAGAGCTAAAGAATAGATTTGATACTTGAAAAAGATTGCTGGCCCTTATCAGACACATGCACACACAAATATTGATCGGTGTCCGCGGTATCCAGGGGAAGGACAGCAATTTAACGGATGGCACAAGACTAGAGTAAGTGACTTCTGGGTCTATTTGTCCAGACAGGCAGTGCAGAGGACTATGGAGTGACATGTGAGCGTTCATAGAGAGGGCTCCAAAGACAGGTGTTTATGCTTTGTAATGTCTGTCTTTTGTGCCAGAACTCACGAGATGGTTGAGTGAAAGAAAGAAGCAATGGTGCCTCCTGGGTGTTTATTAGTAAAGCAGGCTTCCCACGATGGATCAGCCCACCCAAATCGCCACCAGTCTGTCTCACGGTTCCCTATATTGCACTGATGCTGTATCTGGCTTCTGTGAGCATCCGTAGCCTGCAGCACTAACAGGAGTTGTGCTGTAGATTGTATTTTTAATTTACTTTATGATTCTTATTTATCCACAGCCTGGTTTCTTTGAGGTCCAATTTCGTTTCTTCCAGACCCAGAGGGGTTGTCAAGCTCGATGACTTAGTGTAGTTGTTTTTAAAATATAAGTGTATGCATAATTAGATCTTTAAGATGAGCAAGTACCTGCAAGAACTTGCCCCTGGAAGGGAGCAGTGTCTTGTGGGTCCCAGGGGTTTGTGGTTGAGTCCTAACGCTGCCTTTGACCATCTCCATTCCCCAGACTTTCAGTGCAATGCCCCCCTGGGAATGGAGTCTGGTCGGATTGCTAATGAACAAATTACTGCATCATCTGCCTATTCGGACGGGAGGTGGCTCCCTCAGCAGAGTCGGCTTCATGGTGATGACAATGGCTGGACCCCCAACTTGGATTCCAACAAGGAATATCTCCAGGTACTTACTCACAGAAGTGGTATGCGTTGATGGGACAGATGTATGGTTTCTTAGCTCGGGTAAGAGTACAGAGAAAATAAACAGCATCATGTCTAAGAACTCCATCCCCTCATTCACTCATTCATTTTTAAAAGTATGTGCCGGACGATCCTCATTGTTGGGGTGAAATTATAATTGCCGTCCACCCTGTTGAGATTCCCGGCCTTTGTAGAAGTTGTTTGGCTCACAGACAGGAGATGATGTTTGTCCTATCACTGGAGATAGCTAAAGAACAGTCTATAAACAGTTCCAGATCTTCCTCCTTCACTCTTGGCATAGAGCAGCATCAGAGCTTGGCCAGGTGGAGGGGAGAGCTTTCTCAGGGCAGACTGGCTGTAGTGCAAGCTGAGCACGGCAGCGCCTCCTGTTCTTTGCTATTTAGGGCGAACTTTGCAGGGAAGGTCTTTTGCATAGAGGTATCGGAAGAACACATGGAGAAAATGTCACCACCAGGAATGAAAATCAAGCTCCCCAGATACTTTGCAGTATCTTATCAATAGTGTTTGCTTTGCTTCTGAGTAGGACTTGAAACTTGTGCTGGGAAACCTCCCCTCGTGGTAGAGAACAGACCAGTGCTCCTCCCCTGGGAAGAAATAAACAGGGGAAGTGCAAGTTGCTAGTTCCGAACTAGAGCAAATACTGCTCTTGTGGCACACAACTGACAAGCCTGTCCTAGCTGCGATGTGACACGGTGACCCCTGCTTGCAAATGAACATCACAGGGCAGACAACAGGAAAGGAGAAAAAGGCTTGTAAACTTCTGGGAGACCACAGAGCTTCTAACGGTTCTACCCTAAGGCTATTTGTCTCTGTTTTTCCAAAATCTGTCTCATCCTACAAAGCTTTTGGAACGTTCTGGAATCCTGAGGTCACTGAGGCATTCTGTTGGTTGTAATCCTTATTTCTGGCCTTTAGTCATGCACTTTCTCTTACAACTCTCCACGTGTCTTTCAAGGGCACATGGGGCATTACATACTTCTTTTGAATGTTTAATAAAGCTGGGTAAGTAGCCGCTGAGGGCTTGCTGAATTGTAAGTTACCGGTGTGCACTAACTCAATTTTGGTCAAACAGAGATTACCATTCAGAAGCACTGTGGCAAGCAGAGGAATGACACCCAGCAATTTCCAAATGGGTTTGGCTTTGTGGAGGGGGATGTGTCTCAAAGTGTTGGTCATTCTCCTCACAGAGCAATAGGTCAGGCACTGGTGCATAAGCCTAATTGCTTGGGCAGACTCTGTTTGCCCTCTGACCCTGGAGTGACCTGAACAGCTCAAAAATACAATGGATTGAGAAGCTGAAGGGAGGAGGGAGAGCCGGGAGCCATGGCTTTTGCGACTAGAGCATTATAAGTGGATTGGATTGGATTGAATTGGACTGGATTGGATTGGATTTAGCCATTGTCTCTTTCAAACAGCATCTGTTTTCACAGTCCAAGGCAGGCCACCATGATTGTAGATATCCAGTGATTTCTCTAAGATAAAGGTAACACTATTCATTCAAATTTACAAAAGGAAAAAAATGATACATGTTTAAGACATCCAATTTTAGATCAAGTTAGGTTTAATTGTTCAACTGGGTCTCAAACTTGCATGAGTTAGAAACTCACTGAGTGGTTCGCAGACGCAGATTGTAACCTGAAAATTACACTTGTGCCTCTTGAATCAAAGGCCAGGTCATGCCCTGTGTTGGAGGCGGAGGTCCTTTACTCCCCCACTTTTCTCCCCCCTCAGGTGGACCTACGCTTCCTGACCATGCTCACAGCCATTGCTACCCAGGGAGCTATTTCTCGGGAGACCCAGAATGGGTACTATGTCAAGTCCTACAAATTGGAAGTCAGCACAAATGGTGAAGACTGGATGATGTACCGGCATGGCAAAAACCACAAGGTAAATCCATCTCCTCGCCTCCAAGGCCGGCTGACATGGTGGGTGGGGCAGAAGGAGCTACATCTCAGCTCCACACGGGGAGGAGGCCTTGTGTAGTGAGGCCCAAATAATTGATGGAGGCAAGGGAGATGCTGGCCCTGCAAATATCCTTTCTTATGCGAAAGTGATTGGAAAACACCGTTTCTCCGACAGCCTGGCTGCTGTTGCCTCTTGCACAGCAGTGAGAGAGAGCACGCAGTGTGCTCCCTGACTGCAAATGAAGGAGAAAATGCCTTCCCAGCCCGCATCTCCCCATCCAGGATTCATTGAGCATTTATGGCCGGAGTCCCTTCCTCATGCTGGGCAAACAATCACAAAACCCCATGAAGCTGCAGTTCAGGAGTTACCGAGGTCTGGAAATGAAAGGGCACAAATCCTAAGAGGGAATCACAATGTCCCTGAGAAGAAAGAGGACCATAAATGAGGAGAAATTCACTGTGTCAGGGAGATAGGATCTGAACTGGCAATCACGATTGGCAGCGAGGCACTGAATGCCCCCGGCTGGTGCCTGCAGCGGCAGCAGCTCCCAGAGGTGTGGTCCGGGTGGGCAATGTAGGGTTTGTATTGTGCATATGAATGACTATGTGGTACTCAGTTTTCTGAAGACACATGGCTGTCTGGTGGTGAGCAGGCTTGCAGCTGGGACTGGCAAAGTGCTGGTGGTTCGGTCGCCTCAGCTCATGGGGGAGCTTTTTGGTAACATCGGGAGATCTCACTTGGGAAGGAGCGTCTACCGGATGTGCGCATCACTGGGGCCCTGCAGACTGTTTGTCAGGGGCTGACTCTGAGACCTGTAAGGGGAGTATGGAGTCCTGGACACTGCCCATCCTTCTGGGAAGGGCATTGAGGGGAAGAGCGTCTTGCCTCTTTAGTGCCACCATTCTACCGGAACTCTAGTTGGCCATAGTATGAATTATCAAAAAGGAAGCGTGTGGTCCAGCCCAGAGGGGTCCAAGCCCTTCTCCAAAGCATATCCCCTCAGCTCCTGATACAGCATGTTCTTGGTGCAACTGTGAGTGTGAGCTTTGAACTTGGGAAATCCTAAACTGAAATGTGGGTACCATTTCACTCAGAGAATCGTAGTATTTAGTTGTTTTGGTTGGTTCGCCCTTATTTTTTTTTATTTTTTTATGAAAATCACCATAGTGACAAGGCATCATTCATCTGAAAGTCATGGCCTCTAGCTACTAACAGATGTCAAAGAGAAAAATACCCCCCTTCCACAAATAAAGCAAATAAAGCAACTGGGAGTCTTCCACACCTTGACATGCTTTTAGCAATTTCAGGAAGAACTGCCTGACAGCAGTAGGGTCTGGCCAGGCCCAGGAGGCAGAGGGTGTGAGAAGCACCGTGGGCTGCGTCCTCCCTCCACAGCCCTTTCTCCATCATACTTCCTCTCCACTCACAGTTCTCCATAAGAAACCGAGAGAACACTGAAGCTCTGCTCAAGCAGACGAGGGCTAGCTGCTGAGTCAGGACAGGCCCCAGGGGAGAAGAGTTCACCTGACCATCTCCCCATCCAGGCTCAGTGACTAAGCAGCACTGGCCAGAGGGATACTGTAGCATAAGCTGATTTTAAGAGCACGCAGATGGACCAGGATGCTATTTAAAACGCCATTTGTAGGAAATCTGCTTTTGGAAATACCTTAGCACTGCACATTTGGACAGAATGCTGTCCTCCCTGGCTTTATCCTGGGATTTGTTCTGCCGTCTGACCCCTTCTCAGGAGGATATTCTGAAGAATTGAATTCAGCCTTATGGTCTCCTTTAGAATCATTCTCAACCTTTTCAGACTGGAAACATATTCTCTCTCTCTCTCTCTCTCTCTCTCTCTCTCTCTCTCTCTCTCTCTCTCTATCCTGCTCTTCCTAGTCTTGGCTCAATTTCTTCCCCAGCAGCCAAATGGTAGCTGGGAATTTTTTTTTAATCAGTTTTTCCCAAGAAAAGGAAGCTTGGGTACAAGAATGCCCCCTTCTTCCTACTAGACATTCAATCTCTGGAGGGGACAGGAACTTAGAGGGGACAGGAAAAGGGAAAGTGTGCTAGTTAGACTCCAGCATCCTTACTGCATTGATGTGGTGGGCTGTGGGGAGACCACCCAGACCCCTCCAAGGGAATCTCTGCTTCCCGTCATTAGCAAGCCCCCTCTACAGCTGCGTTTAATGTGCAGATCTCATGCCATTCACGGCGCATCAGAACTGTGCTCTCCACTGCTCCGGTTGAAATCGTTGAGCGAACCGTGCCAAATAGATTTGTCAAGTCGGCCGCAGTTTGACTTGATGCCATGAGGGGAGGCAGGGTGAGGAGCGGAGAACGGGGCAGTGAGGGGAGAGGCTCCATCCACGCTGGGTGCCACCATGAGGTTCTTTTTGTCACTGCTGGATAGTGGGCGCCTGGCCAAGCTAGCTGGTGCTAAGTGGTGGCCTGAAAGCAAGAGTCCAGACAGCCAGGCCTGGGAGCCAAGCCCCCTAGGGGTGCAGGCGGCAGCCCGTTCGCTCAGAGGTGCTGAGGGAAGACTTCAAAACTCCTTCTCAGCAGAGGGGGTGTGGAGAGGAGACTGTTTGGGGAAGAAAATGTGGGAACTTGATTTCAATTCCCTGGTCACTGTCAACACTGATGCAGTATACCAAAGACCAGGGACTTGAGGAAATTGGGTAAAAATAAGATTAATGAGTGCTCAAGGTGGTGGGGGTGGGCCATGCTATTTCTTTGCAAAACACTCTACAATTTGGACCTTAGCAGGCCGGAGGAAACTTGGGCCTATGGAGGAATGACTTTCTTGCTGCTAGGAGATGGGAAATCCTGAGGAACTCTTGCCCAGTCTCCCTTAGCTGTAAGCCAGTCTCTTCTTGGTCTCTTTCATGCCAGCAGGTAATCATGAGGTTGCATTTGAGAAAGGCATTGATAACAGTTCCAGGTTAGTCAGGCATTCTCTGGCAAAATGCAGCCCAGTCATGCAGGTCGATTGCACAGCTCACCCCCCCATCCTTATCCATTTCCACATGCCATAATATGGAACCTATGATTTTCATAAAGGGCTGGCCTTCCTTATCCATATTTATGGCATAACCACAAGGCAGGGCGCTTGTGTGCCTGATGGAACCCATTTCCAGCTCGTGTGCTCACTTAGATTATACAAATTGCTGCACATACATTTCTGCAGAAACCACAAGCAGAAATGACTGCTCTTGGTTTCACCAGCTGTACTAATCACACCCCAGACGTAGACATAATGCTGTAAGTATAAGAGTAGTAAGTTTGCTTGAGTATATGTGTGTGTATAATTGTAGGCATTATGTATTCAGAAACCAAGAAGAGTGAGCAGAGCAAGATGAGAAGATCTCAGAGCTAAGGGGGTGCAGAGAGCCCTTGCTCACCTTCGAGGTGTCCATTCCATGAGCCTGCATGCAAGTGACTGATTGTGCTGCGGAGATGGGACCATCTCTGGTGTCTGGAGAGAGGGACAAGATCCCTGGAGTGCTGATTACCGTTCTATGTCTAAGCAACAACCATCACTTTTTAAGTTTCTTCCACCTGGTAAATATGCCCATCTTACTAGCAAGACTGACCACATAGCCTTTCACTACAGCGTCGCTGGGCTACTCTTTCATCTCATGTATTTAGAAGACATTCTGGATAAAAGACAGTCTATGGGAATGCTAACTCTATCCTGACTGCCAGATTGAGGATGCAGGGATGAGGTAAAGCTTGAGTCCAAGAGTTTTCAAAATTATCCAGTAATGAGTGGCAGAAATGCACTAAGCTCACCATATTAATGTAATGATGGCCTCGGAGGGGCTCAGGGAGCCCTCAGGCACTGGCTTACTTGTTTCAAAATTTAACAGCATTTCCCAGACTATGGCATTGAAGCTCTCAGAGACTAAGTAATTTGCCCCAGGGACATAGGAGCCAGTGGGAGTCCCCTCGCAAGGCGCCTCGTCGCCAGGCTTTATTTCCAGACTGGTGCTCTCAACAATCAGGCCCAGGCCTTCCTTGTCATTTTGTATCCTGAGGGACAGTGACTTCCCAGATGTTCAGTGTAAAGGCCACCAATTGCACGTTTTCCACTGAGACCCTCTGCTCCGGTGGAGATGGGAGGCTAGCTGTGCTTGGGCAGGGCAGCCTACAGGGCTCCTTGGTCTGGAGACGAGTTAGAAGAATTTACTGTTTGTTTGACTTAGCTGCATCCTTTCCAAACAAATCAACAAACCCTTCATGTCAAATATTCTGTATTTATTTGCTAAATTAAAGTAAATCACTTTTAAATGCATTTGGAAAGTTGAAACCCCTCTGTGAGATTATCAGAGATAGAAGGGTGAAGAGCGTGGTGTCGTCGGAAGGCCACACATTCAGATCAGCTGGCTGACAGCTATAGAACATTGCACCATCTGTTTTTAGCTCCTCTTCGCTAATGTGCCCTGTGACCGTGGGCATTTCTCCTACCAGTTCCCTGACTCAGTGTTTCCATCTGCCCGAATGGGATGGCGCCTCAGCTGCACTTGGCCTTGACCAACCACCTTGAGATCAGGGAATGGAAGGCTCTCTCCAGATAGAATTAATGTATTAGCCTCACAAAGCTCTTCTTGAGCAGAAGCAAGTTATCCATTTAAAAAGTAATAAGGCCCCATGGGATATTTATCTGCCTCTTTTTAAATCATTGGTCTGGAAAGCACTGTGAGAAGTCATCCGGGCCTTTATCCTACATCTGGTGAGGCCTGCACCTGAGCCACCTCGGATAAATGCCACCTAGCCTAGCCTTCACCTCTGGGCAGCAATTGCTCCTTCAATTCATAATCTGAGTTTTCACAAGAAACCCTTTTTCTGCTTCTTGGTAAGTGGCTGCCTTCCTCCTTTCTGTCCTGTCGTAGCCAGTGTGTTGTACATAGGATTAGAATAAGAACTTAAACTATAAGCTAGTAATGGCCTGAAATCGTAGATGTGATTTCATTCAGTAACCATGG